AATTATGTTAATTAATTCATGTTTAGTAATAATGCATACTACTTAGGGATCTATTTTATTTTTAGGATGGTATTACAAAAGTGAAATGCAGGCATAGATAATATTTTTAATTGAATTTATTCAGTTCTCATTAGCTCATAGGTCCTTAATTTTTTTCATTAATGGTCCTTAAAAGTACTTAATTTCCATGTGCAGAAATGTGTATGAACCCTGTAAATATAATAATAATATTTCTGAAATTATGGTTTTACTGTTACTATCACATTTCTAGTTTTCTTATTTTATACAAAACTCAAAAATAATACAGTTACAAATGTATCCATCTACAGGACATATCCACTTTAACTGACTGATATATTAATTAATCAGTGGTTAAGGGAGGATGCTCTGGCAGTTACTTTGTGAAGACATTAGTTTTTTTTTTTTTTTTTTTTTTCCCTATGCAGGAGATGTGAAAAATGTGCAGTGTACTTACTCTCCAGGACTTGAACCTGGACTTCTCGAATATGCATTAGTATGCTACTGTTACAGTATGAAGGCGTGCTGGAAAAAAAAAAAGAAAATAGCATATATACTCCCCCTTTTAAAGGGTGATTGGAAATTAGGGAACCCAATTGCCAAATCCCGATGGTGATGAATAATTGTCCGCCACCTTTAGTTCAAGCCCCACTTGTATATATTAAAAAAAAAATTAAAGCTAGATATATGAAAAATGTACAGTGCCCTCGCAGGGTGACAGGGATTTGAACCCTAGATCTCTCGAATTCACATCCAGTATGCTACTGTTGTACCCTCAAGATGTGTTGGAAGGAGGAAGAAAATACCTTATAACTTGAAGGTCTCTGTTCCTTACATAAGGTAACTGGCCTTTGTGAACTGCTCTAGAACCTTTCAGTATATACATAAAAAATAAATAAAAACATTCCTTTTTTTTTTTTTTTTTTTTTTTTTTTTTTTTTCTCTGGTAAGGTAGGAGCTTTTCAAAGTTTATATTATAGGAGGAGAGTAAAAGGAACAGTTATACAGAGGTAAAAACAGACCTCTGAACCAGTGCTTCCTCAATACACTCCATCTTTTCATAAAATTATTTATCAATTCTACATTATGCAATTATTAATTAATTATAACATTCATTTACCATATAACTGGAAAGTAATTTTTTGTAGAAATTTTACTTTTCAATTACTTTAGTCATATAAACTGTCACAATCATTCAATTTCTTAAATTTTTCATATTCCTGTATTCATTATAACAATATATTTGTCAACTTATATTAATATTCAAGAACACATTTTTTGAATTATAATAATATTTACTGTAAAAATAAATTTAACATTTGCTATATTAACATTCACAAACACAATTTTTATTTCATTTTCTTTGCAAGTTTTCAAAATTTTCCCATTCATTTTTCACATTTAGCTCATTTTAAAAATAATTATAAGGTTTTCTAAATAATTAAAAATATTATTCTTAATGCAAGAATTTTATGTCACCTTTCCTAAATAAAATAATTACAAATCTTAAAATTCATTACTTAATTTTATTAAACATAATTATGACAAATTAAATCTTTTGATACCATAAAATTTTAATCATTTTCATAAATTAGCACTAAATTTTTAAATTCCGATATTTTATGAAAATAGCATTGCATATTCAAAATTTCAAAATGACATTAAATATTAGCAATTTTGTATATGGTAAGGATATAGTTTTAACTGCACTAATAAGAACCTTACTTTATTCATAAATCACTTGATGTAAATTTTAAAATCTATAACACGATTTAAGTTTTTTCCACTGAAATGACTATAAATTAATTCATTATGATTGGAAAAAAATAATTATAAAGTTCTGTTGTGAATAAATATCTAATTAACAGTAATCTATTATGAATAAGCATTTAATATTTATTGCACACAAACTTCTGAAATTATTTGGAACATTCAGCAATCAATCCTTGGAACATTCAGCAGTCAATCCTCGAAAACATTCATTACATCACTTTGAATATAAACACCATGCTGGATTAATTTTCTGAAAACAGCCAGACGATGAGATTTTTGTTGTTGTTGTTATTTATGCTCACTTGTCTGACAGGAACATCAACCCTAGACGACGAAAATCCTCATGGCAAGGAGTGCAAGATTACAACTGTCGTTGGCAACATCATTAAGCACTTTACAGGTGACAGTGTGATTTAGCTCAGTTCTGCCCCCATGTTTGATGAAGAGCGCCCTGGGGGCGGAGGGGTCCGAAAGTTTCTCACTCCTCTCTCCTTTCACCAAACCACATGAGAGGACTTTGGGCTTGCTGCATATTTAGAGTGCTGCCATGCTGCACTGACAACTACACATTTACAAACATCCATACCTTCTTTGGGATTCAAACCCGAGCCCTTCAGTATGGCAGTTGACGCTAACCACTATACTGGTTGCATGGCGAAATTTTTGTTAATTTCTGGATATTGAATAAATCAACAGCCATATTTCCTAGAGATGCAGAATAAAATAAAATTAATAGCAAATCTTCAATCTTTGCTGTTAACACTATTTAAATTCCATTGATGAATTTTCATTTGTATACCCTCAGTTTCTACAACATTGCATATATTTGTGTGTGAGTGTGTATGCGCAAACTGATATTTGGGCAATCAAAGTAAAATTCTAGTTCTAATGCAGCTAAGCTTAAAATAATTTACTTTATAAAATTGTAGGTTTTTAATCCCAGATTATTTGGGAAAATGAAGATCTGTGAAAGAGTTATTGCAAATTTAAGTAAGGCAAAATATTTTTTACTGAAAATTCACTGAAAATTTAGTAAAATAAAAATGAATAAAGAAAAAACTGGTGAGTCAATCAAACAAGGCTGACTTCCATACGCACACACACATATATATATGTATGTATATTATAAGGGTTGCTGAAATAAAAAGTGGACACGTGCAATAATGTCAGAATGATTGTATCAATAGCAGAGCCACTACACAAGTATATAAAGGGCGGTATGATGTATGCATCTAAGACGGCATTTAACCATGAAACCTGTTTGTAGGAGATTAAATTGTGTGAAAGGAAAGTCATGCTATCCATGTATGCGTCCAGATCAGAACAACGCGCGGTAGTACGGTTTCTGGTTGCGAAAGGGGAGCGTAATGCGGGCATCTATTGAGGAATGGTGACAGTGTATGGCGAGCACTGTTTAGGTTGTACGGCTGTAAACAAATGGTGTGAAAGTTTCCGTGAAGGGCGGCAAACGACATTGCATCTGCCGAGACCGGGCCAAGCAAACAAAGTGATCACCAATGATTCCATTGCCTCTGCTAATGAAATGGTCCAAGCTAGTCGAAGGATTATGACTCTTGAAATCAGTCATGAACTCAACCTGAGTAAAGGAACAGTTAACACCATTATCCACAAACATCTGGGGTACAGCAAAGTGTGTGTGGCATGGGTACGAAAACACCTGACCCTTGATCATCAGAAACGATGAATGGGCTTCTGTCTCCAGCACTTGATCCGTTATGAGGAGAATCTCGCATTTCTGGATCGTATCGTTGTGGGCGACAAGACCTGGTACCACCACTACACACTGAATCCAAGAAAACGAGTATGCAATGGAAACACAGCTCATCTCCTCCATCACGGAAATCGAAAGCAATGATAACTGCACGGAAAGTGATGCTTTCATTTTTCTTCGATTATTGGATACCGCTTTTAATCGAGTTCCTGCCCCAAGGGAGCACTGTCAATTCGGCACAATATTGCAGTGCTCTGACGAAACTGTGACAAGCAATAAAAAGAAAACGTCCAGGCCTTCTCACACAAGGAGTGATCCTTCTGCATAACAAAGCTGCCCACACATCTCCCAGGAAACCCGGAGGACCTTAAACACATTCCGTTGGGAGGTTTCGGAGCACCCCCCGTACAGTCCGGACTGTGACTTTTCACATCTTTGGGCCACTTAAGAGAGCCTTACAGGGGAAACGTTTCCATTTAGACGATGGAATGAAGGAAGCTGTGGAGGACTTCCTCAGGTATCAGCCCCAATCTTTCTACAGCAAAGGCATCAAGCTGCTGCCGCAACACTGGGACATGTGTTTCAACTCCCATTGTGATTTCTTTTGATTTACAATACAGGTATTATTTTTCTTCAACTTGTCCACTTTTCATTTGGGCAACCCTTATATATATACATACACAGGTGCTTTAGATTCACTTTGTAATACATTATTCCATTTAATTTAACACCCAGATACATATATGTAAGATATAAGAAAATACGATAGCTGCTTTAAAAATAATTGGTGACCTAAAATTAACTATTCTAGATTTGGCGCTGTCCCTGTAAATCCATCTGTTCTCCCAAATTCAAGCTCTTTCTATGTTATGTAACAACCTCAAATTAACCAGTCATAACTTCTCTCTACTATTGCATCTACCACTAAATACCACTCGTAAGCTAATTGCATCATCTTCTTCTCTTAGCTTCTGCCATACCAACATCCACGCTGCTTTGCTTGTCTTTCTAAAATGATACTGTCCTGTTAATCTGTGTATATATAAGAAATTATTGTAATTGTTTATGATAAAACATATATTGGCTACGAAGAATTATTTTAATATGCCTGGAAATAAAGATGGTAATTAGCTGAACTTGGTTTGGTATCAACATCCTTGTCCTGTCTTACTGCTCTGCTATCACGACTGTGCATAAAAAATATTACACACATATATATATAAACCTCTTTTAAGCTCACATTTTTTAACTATGATTTGTAAGATTTCTGTAAACAAATTAACAGCAGGTATCTGTTATTGAATGTGAGCTTTTCATCTGTATTTTTTATTTTTGTCTCATGCGCACATTTTTTTTTTTTTTTTTTTTTTTTAAATTTATTCCACTTAAAAATAAATAATAAGCAAAATGTGTAGGTAGGTGTGATATTTTGTTTCTTTTCATGTTCCATTAATACTTTTTAAATAATTATTTTTAGAAAATGAAAAAGTTTTGCTATTTTCAAGACAAAGTGAAATTAGAGGTGTGGAGTTAACCATGCCATATTACAATATGATTCCTCCAGTCAGTGTGCCCAAGGTTTGTAATCAAAATTTTGCCTTATTAACTCTTTTAATTTCTAATGTGTACTTGTTTTAAAATGGTTATAAATAATGTATTTCAGTATATTCAGTATATAAAGTTGTATCTTTTCTGCATGCTGTAACTAGAAAAATATTTTTAATGTATTTTAGAATAATTCTGTTATTTTCTTTAAATTTACCTTTTTTTTTTTTTTTTTTTCTTTCTGGGTTTGTTTTAAAATTTATTTCCTGCTATTAAGATTGGATAGATTTCATTTTGTCATTCAATTAGCTTTATTATTTTACAGGTACTGAAAGTCAATCAGATTGATTTTGTTGCATCACGTCATCAGATTTATTGGTCAGATACTGACTTAAGTGAAGTGAAAAGAGCAAATTTATCTGGGTCTTCAGTTGAAACTTTAATTGATATTGGTAAACTATTTTCATATAGTACTGCATTTTTATCTTTAATTGCTTATTTACTGTGAATTTTATAGTGCTGTTTAACCCTATTTTACGATATGAATGCAAGTAAATTTATTCAACAAAAATTTCAGCAATAAATTTATTATTCATCAATGACAATTAATGAGTATATAGTTTATAGAATTAAATATATTATGTAACTCTATTTGAGCTTCTTTATTCCTAATGTCTTTTTATTTTCCATTTGGAATACAAAGACTGAGATATGGACTCCTCAGAACTTTGGCGATACCAGATTTCAGAATTTTCTGGTTTTTAGATGTTCAGTTGTTTATAGAATAAGTAAAACATTTATGATTTTAAGCAAGTCAAAATTTAACTTCCCTCCTCCCCAAAATCAATATTTACTTAGTTCTCCAATTAAACATTTTTTTAATGTTACTGTTTAAGCTGCTTCATTTTTTAGGCTAATACTTTCTCCTCAATTTTTAAGATAAGCATGATTTCTTCTTCAATTACAAAGTTCAGGTATTCAAGCCCTGAAATTGGCAGGTCAAGAATACGCACTAAGCTGTCAATCAAAACCATTTCATTCTCAAAAACCTCTTTGTCCATTTTCTTCATTATTGATAGTGATATTTTCTGGATTTAAAACCGTATGATAGATTTCACCATCCATTAACTGTTGCTGATTTGGGCATTGTCACCACAGTGTAAAACTTTTATTATATCATCCTCATTTATTCCACATGTATATAAGGTCTATTGGAAAGTTTTGTCCGATAATGCTATTTCAAGTTTTAACACACATGCAGGTGTTCGTTTGAGACATATATGGCTCTCTCTTTTTATGATTGCATTTATAAGCATCTGTTGTTCTAAATTAACTGAAATAAAAGTGCTTCATATCATTATTAGGTTATTTCAAGTTTCAACATGAATGCAGGTGTTCATTTGAGACATATATGGCTATTTCTCTTTATTACTGCATTTATAAACATCTTCTGTTCTAAATTAACTGAAACAAAAGTGTCTCATGTCATTAAGTAAAATGCGATGATATAAACATTGTTATTGATAAAGTGTACTCACAACATCGTATTTTGTATGAATTTCAACAAGGAAGAATGCTACACAGAGCCATTTTGAAATTTAATGAAAGTTTTTGGTGAAGATCCTGTTTTGGATAGAGTTTGCAGGAGATGGTTCGAAAAATTTCAAGCAGATGATGTTGACCTTAATGATAAGTCATGCTGTGGGAGGCCGTCTTTCATCCATGGTGTTGTTGTCAAGACCATGATAGAGAAAAATTCTTTTTTGACAATGTCAGAGGTTACAGAAAACCTTAATTTAGCTGAATAAACCATTTTGGACAGTATTCAGAAACTAGGATTGGTCTATAAATATTCCAGATGGGTACTTCATGAGTTAAGTGAAAAAAGTTTGTATGATTGCATTGTCATATGCACATTTCTATTTGTTTGGAACAAAAACAAAAAATTTTTTTTGGACTGGATGATAACTGGGGATGAAAGGTAGGTTATCTACAAAACCATCATTAGTAAAAGAGCATACTGTGAGTGGGACAACCTGCTCTTTCCACTTCTAAACCAAGTTTGAGCCTGAATGAGAAAATGCTATGTGGGAGATGTCCAGGGACCAGTTCATTATGAGCTTTTGAAACCTTTAAAAAAATTTGTTCAATTCAAAGATATATTGACAGCAAGTTGACCATTGAAACATAGCAGTCAAAAAAAAAAAAAAAAAAAAAAAAAAAAAAAAAAAAAAAAAGAGGCTGGCTGTGTTCAGTAGGAAGCACTTCATACTGCATCATGATATTGCCTAACTTCATGCTGTGCTTTGGTAACTTCTTCAGAAGATCGCATAGCTATACTGAGAAGTTCTGCAACATCCAGTATAATGCCCCGACCTATCACCCTCCCATTATCCCTTGTTTCTTTCCTTATAAAACTTATTGAAGAGAAAAAAATTCAAAGCTGAAGCAGATATCAGCCAAGCATTGAGTTCTTTGTGTCTAAGGACAACACATTTTTCAAAATCTACAAACTGCCATCTTGCTGGCAAGAGTTTTTAAGTAATGATGGAAATTGTATTGTACAGTAAATATTATTAAAGGTATAAAAAATGATTTATTTTCTTTCATGTGGAATTTTCTGGTAGACTTAATTTATATGTACACACACACACACACACACACACACATGGTTTCTAAAAATTAAGGAAAAATAGCAATAATTTGTTTAAAAATAAGCCAAATCCTTATAAAATTTGAATGTGTTGCCAAATAAGAATGGCTAAGCAAAACTGTAGTCTGCAAATTAGTCAAAACACTGCAGTCGAAATACGTCGTCTGCGAGGAGCATAAAATTGCATGTTTCAGAGCAAGCCTGCAAATTTCTCTGTGATAATATGGGATACCCAATTTGTAACAATGTCCTCCAAGCATTATTTGCTGGAAGTAGTGTGATGGAGAGCTATTGGGAGACTAGAGGCAGACAGAAGTGGCCAGATGGCTAAATGCGAGTCCTTCTGTGGTTTATAGGCAACAATTTCTAACCGCAGATTCAGCATCCAGGAGGTTCAACCAAGAACGACCAACCACTACAGCGTGTACTGATAACAAACGTTTGTTATTATGAGCACGAAAGAATAGAATCTCTACCATGACTCAACAGAGATCCTTCCTTCCTGCAGCTACTGGAAGGTTGGTGTCAATGGCAACTGTGCATGGAAGGCTTCACGAAAGAGATCTGTAGGCAAGGTGACCAACCATTTGCATATAGTTCATATCACATCTCAGAAGGGAATGTTTGAGGTGGGAATATCAACATGTCCACTGGACAGCTCTTTAATGGAGGGCTGTTTTCTTAATGAATGAGTCCATTTTTATCTCCAAAGTGATAGTAGGCATTATTTGATTTGGAGAGGCCCTGGAAATCATTATAATACATCAAACATCTGTGAAAAGAGATGCATATGGAGGAGGCAGTGTCTGTGTTTGGGGTGGTATCTCTTTGCATAGACGCACAGACCTCCATGTCTTTCTACATGGAACCATGAATGTTCAGGCCTATAGAGATGACATCCTTTATGTTTATGTCTGCCTTTATGCCTAGGAAATAGCTGATAATTTCCTGCTACAGGACAACAACACTAGATTTCACAGGGGCTCAAATCATGGATGATTATCTTCAGCAACAAACAATTTAATATTCAGAGTGGCCATCTGAATCCTATAGAACATGTTTGGGGTGCTTTAGGAGGATGTATATCTGCTCTCAATCCTCCTTTTCAGACTCTTGCTACACATGCAACTGCTTTGCAAGAGAAGTGTCTCTCACTTCCTGTGGAACTGATAGACTGCATAATTAACAGCATCACACATAATTGTATGTGTTGTATTGCTTGTAGGGGAGGTCATACTCCATATTGAAGGTAATTTTCCTCTGCCAAACTGATACATCCGATTTGTTCGTTTTATAAATATGCTTATTTCTAAAACACCATAATTGTCTGGTAATTTCTTTTCATATTATTTTATACCTTACTATGAGTTGTATACTATGGGTGAGTTTCATTAAATTCTACATGCAAATTTTTAACTAATCATTATTTTTGTTATTTTCCTCAATTAATGGTAACCAGTGTACATATCTATATGTTTATTCACCACATTTTCTCACAAATTTCATTTAATGAAAAATTTTGTCTTTCTCTTGTTTTAAAAGCTGTGTCAAAATGAGATTATTGCTTTGCTTAATTTTCAAATTGCACTTTCTTAAACTTGAATTGCATTGAGGCTGCTATAGAAAACAAGTACCAAATATGCTTTCGCTATAGGCTCTGCTAGAGCTCCCTAGAGCTCCAGAGTTAGAAACACTTTAAGTGGAAATTCAAACTCTAATTTTAATAATATAGTTCAAATAATTATAACCTGCAAAAAAATTATAAGCAGTGTTTCCCGTATTCTTTAGGAAGTGAAAGCAAAATGCAATGCTGCTAAATAAGTGGCAATACCTTCAATGTGTTAAAAATAAACAAGTAACTATATAAATACTGGATTTCAAAGTTGGACTCACAACCTTATTGCCTTATATATTTTTCTTAATTTAAAGCAAAGGAATTGTACTTCCTTGGGTTCACATAAAAATTATTCAGATAGCAGAAGATTTTAAAATTTGAATTTTGATGAATAGTTTTTACAATTTTAATTCACTACACATTTAAGAATTTCATGTAATTTTCATCTGCTTTAGAATGTCTCAAGATTATTTACTATTGTATTTAATTTAGTTTTAGTTTTCTGTACTTTCAAAAACATTATTTTGATTTATCACCATTATCGGAATTTCCATTGTAAAAGTTACAGTTTTTAAGGGGATGTTTCACTTTCTGAATGGTTATGGTTATGATACTTTGAGCTCATATTTGAGCTCGTTTGAGCATACATACTTTAAAAAAAAATCCTTTGGTTTTCAATAAACATAATAAATGTTTTGCAGTTTACAGAAATTACCAAATTATTTTGAATGTATGTTTCAGAACACTCAAAGGAGAAATATAGTACCTATAAAGACCTATTGATCAAATATAAAAACATTAACCCCTTGAGGTCCAGCATGTGGAGAACAAAGCACAGCCACAGGGACGAACCCCCCAAAATGGAATATTACCACTGGCCCACCCATTTTCAGCAGTTAAGCCTACTTTTACAAAAATATTCACATAAAATTATCTTTTTAATATAATGACCTCCATTTTTGAAGTTACGTACTTAGTATGCTAATTTTTAATATTTATTAATATGAGGAGTATCACATTAATAGAAATAATTGAAACGTGCGAAACACTAAAATTATAACTATACGCATGAAAACAAATACTATCCATATGAAAACAAAATTATAAATACAAAATGTAAAAGAAAATTAAGCAATAACTATCTGTAGGTAATTAAATTCCATTTCAATAATTCTGCTGTGTTGAATAACTCAACACGAAGATCGACACATAGGACAATTATGGCTTTTTCCGCCGAGCAATTAAGATGCATTACACATTGCGAAAGCTGATGCCTTTCCCTTTCTGTAATAAGTTACTTTTTAATTTATCAAGAAAGTCTATGTTAAGTTTTAAAATAAATATAAAAAAGAAAACCTGGTCTGAGTTTTTGCATCACAGAAGTTCGAAGACGTTAAACCTACTATAGTCAGCTAGATGCGTTTTCTTACATTCTCCTTAAAATAAATAAAGAAAGAAAGAAAAAAAAGAAAACAATATAAATGAAAACTTTGAGCTGGAACCACATTCTAATAATGAAAATGCAAAGAAATGAAGACAACATCAGCAACAACAACAACAACAACAACAAAAAAAAAAAAAAAAAAAAAAAAAACACACACAAATTACTAACGAACTAAATAAATACACCGGTGTCTTTTTAACTTTCAGAGCTATGATTCCCAGTTTGTTTATACCAATAAATCTATCAAAACCAGAAGCACAGAACAGAAACTGATGCTCATACATGAAGGACAAAAGCCACATGATTTAACCAATACCATTTAGTACCATCCACTGGCATTTAAAAATTTTTAAAAATTGTTCTGTTTTCAAGTTACACATGCACAATGCTGTGCTGAAGAGATGGATCGGAGCTCTTCGCATATAAATGACCCTGGGCTAAGAGTGGAATCGTTGTGTTGCTCCTACACGGCAATGATCCTGAACAGCCTAATTGTATATTATAATTCAGTTATTTCACAAAATACCTTCTAAAGAATTGAAGATAAACTAGACATACTGATACACAGGTAGCGAAAAAAACATGCATATAAAAATACTACATATTGTAAAAATTTAATTTTTTAGTAAAAGACATTGTGTAATCAATGAATAAATTATATTCTTAAAAATTTACTATTTACAGTGAACTTTGTACACAAAGATGAAAGCATAATGCTATTACAAAACTCTGTAAATAGCTAAAATACTGACTTGTGTGTTTTTGATTCGAGTTTGGTTCTGTTGTATAAAACTGCATTCCCTGTAGTAGCACTGGAGTTACAACCTGGCAGCTGTATAATTTGGTAATTTCTTATGAATCCAAAAAGCCCTGGCTTATGCAAGAAAGTGAAAAGAATATATCAGGGATGTCAATTTATTTAATTAATGGGCTTTTAGAGACACCTGATTGGTATCTTTAAGAGAGACTAAAACTACATGTTGTTGAGTATGTCATAGTACTCATCGAAAGGATTGTTCTGATAATACCACCTGATAGTATTAAGATCAGTGGCCATGTAATGACACTCATATATAGTTGATTTCTCTGAATAGATAATAAGATCATTTGTAGAGAGGGTAGAAAAATTATGTGCCAGACACATATGAATTCTACAGCTCTTTGTCGAATTGTTCGGGCACAAGAACTGTTTTCTATGTGTCCATGTGCTGTTTCCATATGCCTCACCGAAGTAAATTTATGATCTCTGTAAGTTATTTCTCTCGCCTTCTTAGCATGCCTTTGTGGTGTAATAGTCAGCAGGTCCATGTTTTGACTCCCTGAGAGAGCATTCTTCAAATTCCTACTTTAAAAAAAAATACCTTATGTCTCTACAGTGGCACCAGAACTTTAAAAAAAAGGGGTGGTGGATGATGATGATTGTCCACCACCAGTATTTGGCGATTGGGTCTCCTAATCCCCGGTCACCCATTAAAAGGAGGAATATATAAGGTATTTCTTCTGCCTTGCTGGTGTAGTAATCAGCACACTTAGCGCGTATTCGAGACGTCCGTGGTTCGACCTTCAGGCTTCCATGAGTGTTACACATGAACATATGTGTTTATTATAACTGCTGAATGTTTATTTTGTTTGTATTATATCAACGTATGTTCTCACCAAATTTTATTAAAATCTGTCCAGTAGCTCTGGAGATCGTAGATCAAATATGCAAATGACTCCCTTGTCTCTTCTGATACATGTGTGGGACCATTTAAAATCCCAGTTGCTGCTATGCCTTAGTATTTATGTAATGTGGAGTACAACGTACAGCAAGTCTGGACTCTTCTGCTGCTAGGTAACATAGGAATTTTATAGACTCTGTTCCAAACTGAATTGCAGCATGTGCCATAACACAAAATAGTGTGACATACTAGTAAAGATGATTGGACCATTTTCATATATGTATTTGTGAGAGAGGGAGAGATCACGAATATTCTTTCATCGATATAATTATTTCAATATAATTTCAGCATATTCTGATGCTTTCTGTTTTGTCTACTTATTTCATTGTCCATGAGTAATCAAATATCTATGAGTAGTGGTGAAATGTTTTGTAAATGAATATAAAATGTATTCACTTAATCAACTCTAATGCATTTAGTGAGTCATATTGAAGTAATTTAATTTATACTCTATTAGCTTTTTTTTTTTTTTTTTTTTTTAAATTTTTATATAGTATATAAACAGATAATGAGTATATGACATGTATTTTATTCATAGTTTTAGAAAGTCCAACTGGCTTTGCTGTTGATTGGGCATCCCAGAATTTATTTGTTACATCACTTGGAGCTTCAAAACGAATTATTGCTAGCAACCTGGATGGTGAATATATTGTTGATATTATAACTACTGATTTGCAGAATCCCTGGTCTCTTGCTGTTCACCCATTTGAAGGGTAATTCCTTATTAATTTCAATTTCATCCTGGATTCTTTAATTTACATGCATACCTCCTACATTTTATATCTTACCTTTTTAATTTTTTTATGTGCAACTGCCACTGTAGTCAAAAGCAGTTTTAAATTTAGTATTTATTATATAAACCACTCAAGCATATAAAATCGAGATTGGCAGGCTTCTTTTGCAGCTGGAAAAACTGGTCTGAAGAAAAAGGCTTCTTCCAGTGGAAGAAACTAATTTTTGGACTTACTTCATATGTATATAATATTATATTTCTATTTTATTGATATGTAGTATTATGATATTACTAATTTAAATGTTTTTATTTTCCATATAATTTAAATAACTTCATTTGTGTTCTTCCAATAATCATGTGTGTGTGTTTGTGTATATATGGTTTGTATGTGTATGTATGTATGTATTTTTGTGTATACTCTAGGAGTTTATATTCATATCTGTGAATTTATATAGATTCCAAAACTAAATTTCAATGCATATCAATAATAAATGTAAAAAAATTACTTCATAAGAAAAGAAAATTTAATTATAAAACTGACTCTACATTATTGCAAAAAGAAACTGAACATAGAGTAACAAATGACACATTTTTTATACCATACAAAATTTAATGTTTTGTGATTGGCATTATGGGAAAACAGGATATTGCAGATTGAACATTCTCTGTACAACTGGCTAGTATTTTCTGTAGTGAAGAAAATTGGATGAAAGAAATGATTTGTTTATTTACTTCACATTAATATTATTCTATTTATATTTTATTTACATGTAACACTAATGTATTACTGAATATTTGCATTACATGTATATTTAGTCTCATTTCTAAATCTACAATAACTTTTATTAATAAGTATGTGCATATGTATGCACTTTAGTTTGTACTTGCTATGACGTCTGCTTTTTGAAAACTAAAACCAACCATAAATTTCTTGTCAGTCTTTCTATCAAAATTCTAAATTAAGTAAAAGTGTTTCACTAACTCTTTTTTCTTCTAAAGGTTCTAATCCGGGTCAAGCTTGCCTAGACAAAATATCAAAAAACTTACTTGAAATTTATACCCTAAGAAAGCACTTTTATTTCAAATAAATCTTACATGTTGAATATGAAAAACTCAGTTACAAAACATTATATATCTACACAAAAAACAACGATCAGAGTAGGTTACAGCTGACATCTTACATTTTTTATTTTAAACTGAACTCTTGCTGCTAATTTTAAATTATGTATTATTTAAATATAACATAAAAAAATAACATTTTATGCTATGTTCCATCTGTTTAAAACAGAATTGTCTATTTCTTTAAATTTTTCATTGGATGACATTTTTAACACTCCCCACTTTAAGTTTTAAACAACTTCCCAGTAAAACTCAAACAACAGTTAAATAATCACTTTCATTGGTTTTAAAAATCTTCCATCCTGCCCAGGATAGAGTTTCTCTGTTTACCCTAAATTCCAACTCAGTATTTTTGGGCAGTTTATCCGCTCCTGCCGCACAAAGTCCCCCCCTTTTTTTTACAAGCGTAAAGCAAAGAAAAAAAAATGTTCACAAAACTGACCGAAAGGTTCAATTTGCTAACATCGTGCTTATTTATGGCAAAAATATCCCAGGCCTTCTCGTAACCTTCCCCTCTGATGAGTAAGTGATTTCTTACTCACCCTTGCAGTGCCCGCTCCACCACCCTCTCTCATCTTACTGACACGTCCACTTCCTCCCGCTCGCCATTGTTAGTTTAAGCCTGATAGTGCTTGTGAACCGGTCGGAGTTAATTTCTTATCTTTTATTGTGTTCAGTGCTTGTGCTTTTCTGTTTTGTGTTTCTCGTTACCGATTTAAAATGTCAGGAAAATAAAAGAAGGTTGTGTTGATGATTGCGCAAAAACTAGAATTAATTTCCAAAGTAACAAACTGCGCTACAGGGCAGTAGATGAAATTGGATTACGGAATATTGGAATCAACAGTGCATGACATTCTAAAGCAAAAAGAGAAACTGGTGAATTTTGCATCAATGTCGGGCAGTGCTTCCGCAATGAAAACGCGAAAAACTATGAAGGGATCTACCTTTGAGCTAGACAAGGCATGGGCAGAGTGGTTAGCTCAAGTTCAAAAAGAGGGTATTCCTGTAAATGGTCCTATCATTGCAGCGAAGACAAAAACCTTTTTTGAGTTGTTAGGGCTGAAAGGAAATTTTGATGCGTCTTCTGGCTGGTTGACTCGTTTTAAGCAGCGACATGGAATTCAAGAAATTGGACTTCATGGGTAGAAACTTAGTGGTGACCAACAAGCAACCGACGATTTCCACCATGAATTTGAAGAATTTGTTTTAAAAGAAGAGCTATCTTTTGAACAAATTTACAATGCTGATGAATGGGGACTTTTGTGGAAATGTCTTCCCACTCACACTTTAGCATTTGAAAGTGAAAGTAAAGCGGCAGGTCATAAAAGCAGCAAGGAAAGGATCACTATCATGTCTTGCAGTAACGCTACCGGTGGACATAAACTTAGACTTGTTGTCATTGGAAAGTCAAAAAAACCGAGATCTTTCAAAGGCACAAGGATAGAAAATTTGCCCGTTGATTACTTTAACCAAAAAAAAAAGGGGGATGGATGAACCGAAACATTTTTCAAAAATCGTTCGAAAAAAATCTTTGTTCTTCAAGTGCGTAAACATCTTAAATCGAAAAACCTGACTGAGAAAGCTGTGCTATTGATCGACAACACATCTTCTCACCCAGCAACAAGCGTGCTAAAGTTTTCTGATGGACAAATTTTTGCAAAGTTTCTCCCTCCAAACGTTACTGCGCTAATCCAACCCAATGGACCAAGGAGTCATTGCAACAATGAAGTGAACATACCCAACCAAGCTGCTAATGACCAAAATTGAAGAAGGTTATGATCTGAAAGAGTTTTGGAAACACTGCACAAACTTGGCAGCATCTACATCATTGCATCTGAATGGGACTCAGTGAAACCATCAACCCTCATAAAATCATGGAGAAAACTCATGCCTTATGTTGAAGCCAACAACAACCTAACCCCTTTGAGTTGTGAAAAAGAGAATGAAGATGTAGACACGCCCACGGCAACTCTTGCCGATATGGTGAAAACAGTTCTGGGTGGTGAGAACGTCAATGCTGGAAACATTAACGAGTTGTTGGAGTGTGACGTCAACGAACCTGGCTTTGAATGCTTGTCAGATGACGAAATTGTGAAGAAAGGAAGGGGAGAGACCGAGAATGAAGGGCAGCGAAGTGAAGGAGAAGAAGAGCCTACTGTGCAGATGTGGAAGACTCACGAAGGGGCTTTGCAACAAGTCGACGGACTGCTGAGCTATTTGGAAGAACAAGACGACGCAGAGTTAGCCGAGAAACTTATGCTACGAAAAATGCAATCTCGGAACAAGAGAAAATGCTTCCAAAGCAAGAAGCAAACACAAATGACTGATTTCTTCAAAAAGGTGTAGTTTTACAGTTATGCTTTTGTAATTACATAATACATTACAGTATTAAAATAGTACATATGTATTAATTTTTCTGTGTATCCTTGACACCTCTCGTATGTATACAAAACAGTTTTCTGTTTTCATTAACAAAATGCATTTTAGGTTAGTTTTGAGTGATATACTAAAATATTAAGCATTAGTTAAACATTTCCTGCTGTTTACTAAAACGATTTTTCAAAGTTGGAATGACTGTTTTCTCTTTTGCTATACCAGTTTTTAGCTTTTTTCGGATTATCTGCGATTTTTGTTATTCGCGGCAGCCGCGCCACCCAATTCCGCGGATAATCGGGAGTGTACTGTATCTTCATTTAAGATAATTACCTTTTTTATCTTACACACTTCTCTCAGTTGCTCTAAATAATAAGCTCTAAAATGCTTTCTTAGATCCCTTTTCACTGTAACGTAATATGCAAATCTCTTCAAACTTACCACGCTACATGGAAAACTGAAAAATGTCACTGAATTCGAAAATTGATAAAAAAAGTCAGGAAATTCAAATATTTTAGCCTGAATCTGCAAAAGTCAGGAAAATTCATATGGTGATCCCGAAAATGGGATTTGAGCACTAATATTTGAAGTGGATCACTTTCTTGGCGAATTATGAATCGCATAAGTATCATTCTGACAGGTGCTGTAAAGCCAGTTTTTGCAGTGCCAATCAGATTTTCTTGCAGAAAAGCAATGCAAGTTTCCATCATTACTGGTTTTAAGTAACTTCCAGAATGCAGAGTGCATGACTCACATGTTCTTATGAAAAGCAAGAAATCTATGCATGTTAAATGAAAGAACATGTCTGCCTCTTGGTTTATAGAGCTTGTTTTTCTGATATCGTCTCCAATTAAAAAATCTGGTAAGTGAAACTTTGTAATCCATTACAGATTTATTAAATAACTTTTTTAGTGTTATGTTTTCTTAATATTCTTTCATATTTGCTTGTTAAAATTATAAGAATTCATGCAGTTAAAAGAAATTTGTTGTTGTTTTTTTGATTCATGTTATTTGCATTGTTAAAAAATAAATCTGATCTGTTAAACTTTTCGACATTCTTTTCAGCATGGTTATATCATAATTATTAGAGTTCAAAATTATGCAAGAAAATTTGATACTTCATTTGGTAATTGCCAAAATATTTATTTGTTCTGAACTTGATTTTTTGTTGTTTTAATTTTTAGATAATTCACATTAAATTTTTTTTTTTTTTTTTTTTTTTTTTTTTTTTTTTTTAAGAAACAAATGAAGATGGAACTCATAGCCAAATAAAAAAAAAAAAATTGTTAAATGTAGCAACGTTTGCCTACCCCCTTTTTTTACACACTGCATGTAGTCAAAATAAGTACTGTATTTGATGGCATATATGACACACCCTTATTTAGAAGGCCACACACAAGGAAAAAAAAAGTGTCAATAGTTCGCGCGAAAGCGCGGTACCACAATAACTTAAAATGTGGTTTCTTTTAGTTTTCACGTTTTGTAAAA